TTAATGATGTTGAGATTAAGCAAGTGATATATTAAAGTTGTTATATATTGTATTAAGTTGCAAGTTGTTTGTGTAGTTTTGATGTTGTGACAAAGTTGTTTGAGATGTTGATGTGATGATGTTGACTTCAAGTAGTAAGTTGATATGTTGAGTTGTATTGTTGTAAGTTGTTAAATTGTGTTTATTGTATTGTTTCTTTTCGTAAGCTTACTCATCTTGTCCTTATAATTAGATTTATAATAATCATATTTAATATACAAGTAAAATATAATTAACAAGTTAACTTGTATAATTATTAGAAAGTCACGTGGTTAGTGACCATTTTGGTTAGTGTCAGTTTAATGTGACACAAATATTTTATTGATGCTAATTGATACTTAGATTTATCTTATATATAATGACATATTTTATGTATATAGATATATATGTATAAGAAATATTATGAATTTTCTACTCCTTACATATAATTCTGCATATGAGATTAGATATTTATTACATATAATCTTAAATTAATAGATATTTATTATTTCTTTCCATTATAGTAGTTAGATTATAATAAATGTACGCTCTATCGAATGATTACAATGTTGAGTGAGAATTTTTTGAAAACAAAAATATGATATATTCAAAAGGTAGGAGTCGTAATAAGAAGCATAAAACGATCGAAGTGATGTAGAAAGAAGAATCAGCGGCACCCAAATGCGTGTGACATTGACTTAGACGTGTCCTATTTCTATACACACAATCATAGCCACGAAGCCATTGGTACCTAAACAAATTTGGGCCCAAGTCTTCAATACTTCAAATTTTTATTCAACTAAACTCGGCAAATCTGGTTTGAGTAAAAGTGACAGTTTGTCGTCACATTTTCCTTCTTTTCTTTTTGTTTTTGTTTTTTATTAATCATCGATACCTTTTTGGTCGTCAAAGACAAATGTTATTCCTCACATATGTGGTTGTCAAATAATAATAATAATGTATATGTAGAAAAACAAAAAAAAGGACACAACAAACTGATAAAGGCTTTGTAAGGGACTATAATCCTTGAGATAAAATCTTACACCAATTCAAACTTCAAATAAATACCTGTGACAAATACGGAATAGGCTACAGTTTTAACCTTAGGTTCTTAAGTAAAATTATCCACAAACATTTATTAAAGAAGAAAATAAGGGGAAAAAGTAAAATAATTTTATTCACATATTGTACAAATTAAAAGGAATATTTTAAAAATTTATAAAAAAAATCTTTAATTTAACTTAAAAAACTAACTTTAATTTATACATATATAAAATAATCTCATCTCAGATGAATTTATTTAATTTTTTATATTCTTTTATAATTCTATATTTTGTGAATTCAAAAAAAATCAATATCAAAATAAAATGTATGAATAACTCATGAGTTAATCATATAAGTGAATTTGAGATTATATTTTAATCAATTTCTTATTTATAAAAATTTATCTAAATAAGGTTTTAAATAAATATCTATGCTTGTAGTTAAGAAAAGAGTAAAACACTTATAATTAATGAATTAAGTATAAATAATTAATGTACTAAACTTAAGGTTAAATTATTTGAGAATATAATTTTTTTAAAATAATTTTTAATTAAATTTTATTTACCTTTAATCAAACTAGATTAATCTAAAGTATAAATCTAAAACACGTGTGAAATGAAAAGAATAAAACACTTAGAACAATTTCAATGGGAGTTGTTTGTCCCGTTTCTTGTTTCAAGGGACAGTTTCTTCCCATTGGAGCACTCCTACGTGACAATATGAGTCGCTTGAAGAAGAGGGAGAGTTGTTTCTGCAAGCAATTGTTGCTTACCTGATTTTGGTGGGGAAAGAGATCAACGAGGTAGGGATGAGGCAAGGGTTTGATAATGGTAGGGTTGACGGCATAGGTGCGAGGTTTGATGGCAAGAGCAGAGCCGCGACGACGACTTTATTGAAGGCGTCGAGAGCTTTGTCGACATTGCGACGGTCGTGCTTGAACCGGTTCATGGCCTCTTATAGTAGTTGCAACGCCTCCCACCAGGCGTGACACACGAGCGATGCCGCGCAACACACGAGCACCTTTCTTTTAAAAGTTTTCTTTTATTTTACATTTTAAAAAATTAAAATTAAAATTTTATAAATATATAATTTAGTTCCTAAATATATTTTATTGAAAATCAATTTCTTTAATTTTTAAATTAAGTAATATTGGTCCATTATTAATATGTTATTTAAAATTTAAAAAGATTGACAGATAAATAACAATTACCCGATTGTATTGGCTTCCTCATATGGAATAATAATTATTTTTATTATATATATTAATTAAAATTTATAGTCTCTTTAAATAAATTTTTTAATTTTAAATACTATTAATTATCTATGTGATTAATTATTTGTCATGTAGTATTTGTTATGTGATTAATTTGCGTCAAGCATGCCATATAAATAAGTCTTAAAATTTTGTTAAAAAAATGTCTTGAAATAAATATTGAAAAGATGTTGAAATAAATTAATTATATGTGGCCTTGAAGCTTGCTAGAGGAGGACGTCCCCCTACCCCATGCATGTGGTATGGAGTCATTGTGTCCTTAAATAGTCTGACATGATCGGTTGTATTTGTAGTGTTAAGTAAATAAGGCTAAAACAACCTACAACAGATACATATCTGCATATCACTTGCAAAATTGGGTCGGAATTGTTTCCACGGTACTTCACTTCACGGGTACTTCACTCGGCTTTTTTGCCGGTCAGAACCTTCCGTGAGTAGCCCTTCTCGATTTGGCTGGTTCTCAATGAAAGCACCATTGTAACGAGCATAAGACTAAGGAAGGGAACCATCCCTCAAAAGCCGGCTCAAGAGGTTGGAGTTTCCACGGTACTTCACTCACGGGTACTTCACTCAGCTTTTTTGCCGGTCAGAACCCTCCGATGGTCAGAACCCTCCGTGAGTAGCCCTTCTCAATCTGGCTGGCTCTCAATGACAGCATCATTGTAACGAGCATAAGACTAAGGAAGGGAACCATCCCTCAAAAGCCGGCTCAAGAGGTTGGGGTTTCCACGGTACTTCACTCACGGGTACTTCACTCAGCTTTTTTGCCGGTCAGAACCCTCCGGTGGTCAGAACCCTCCATGAGTAGCCCTTCTATGTTACTCCTTTTTTGAAATCACATTCTTGAGAATATTATTGAAATATTATTTTTGAAAATATTGAAAAATATGTTTGGTGAGATTTTAATATTTTTGAAAATATTTTAAAAATGAAAATTAATTAAAATAAAAAATGAGTTGAAAAAGTAGATTAAAATATAACTTTTTACATTTTCATGAAAATATAATTTTTTCATTCTCCATCATGAGAATCAATTAAAACAAAGTGAATTATGTTAAAGTATTTTTTCAAAACTACTAACAAATATGAGAATATGATATTCTCAACTCAATATTTCTACAAATAAATTTTTAATTTGTGAAACAAACACACTCTAAGATTTCATGTTTTGAATTAAATTATTAAGCAAGAGATACTGTGGGAGTTGCTTTAATTTTGTTCGTAATCACAAGAATTTATACCCCAAGCACAATCATGGTTTTAATTTTTAAAGAAAACTTCCCTCTTGATAAAATAAAAGAAAAAAAAAAACTTTCCTAGATCATCGATCGTTTTCAAAAAAAATTGTTAATTAGCCTTCCAAAAGATTTTTAAAAATTATGTCTTTAATTTTAACATGCGGTAGTAATTACTATCTCTGATCTTTTAAATAAGAAACAAGCTATAAGTATAATTTTCACTATAACTTATTTTTTTATTAAAAAAATCAAAGGTAATGCATATTAAGAAAAACAAAAGTACAAATAAAATAAGGAATCTTACATAAATAAATAAAAATTTAGTGTATATTTTTATTTGATACTATGTTAGGTTTGATTATATAGATTTGTTACCCCTTTCTTTTTATCAAGAGGTAGGGTAAAATGTTGTTTAGATTATAAGCAGGCGAGAGGGAAAAATGAAATTTAACCATTTTAAGTATTTATTTAATAAAAGAATTGAACACAAATAATTAATATATTAAATTTAAGGTCGAATTATTTGGACAATGTCAAAACTTAATTTTTGACAAAATTAATCTTTAATTAAATTTTACTTACTCTCCAATTAAGATAGATTAGTCTAAAATTACAAATTGATGAGTCATAGTTATCTTTTTTTATTATTAAATCATTAAAAAAATTGACATAAATAAATAAAAATATCCTATATTAATTAAACATGTTTTTAATTATTGATAAGTCTTCGATATTATCTTGGATAAGTAAATTATATTTTAGATTGATAATGAATAATTTAAATTATGAAATAAAGTTGTTTTTATTTATTTATAACAGATAGATGAGTAAGAAAATTAAGTATATAAATTAAGATGAAAAATTATATAATTAAAATTTATAATAAATAAATATTTTCAAATATATGAGCTATATTACAATTATTTTAAATTTGTAATCAATAATTAAATTATGTTATAAGGTTATTTTTAATTTAAAATGGATACATAACTAAAAAAAATTAAGTATACAAATAAAGATGATAAAAGGAGTAATTTAAGATGTTTGAAAAATTATTATTTTTAGTTACAGAAGTAATGTGCAAAATATACCTTCTAGAGAAAGGAAAAAATATTAAAAAGGTGATTAGAGTAAGTTATTAGGAGAGTAAATTCTTCACCTTTTAGATCAGGGAGATAAATTAATTAATATAACGTATAGGAGTGATATAGAGTTTGAACATGGTATTTTCCATGCTCAAATCATAATCAAAGAATCAAATTCATATTCAATCTAGCTTTATGTATACTATTCTTTAATTGCTCCATGACTTAACGTACCCATAAAAGTTTAGATTCTAGATATGTAATAGAAAAAAGGAGAAGCATAAAAAGAAGAATTAAGATTATGAAGAAGGAAAAAGGGTGGAGAAACACTTAATAACATACCTCTGAAGTCTGAATATGAGATTAGCAGACCAGGGAAGTTCAGTACTGTACTTGATGCTTCTGCTACTTTCGTCACTTCCAAAGCTTTAATTCTTTAGGGAAAAGGAGAAAATGAAAAGGGTTATCCTGTGCTTAAGCTTAATTAATAATCTAAGCATAAGCTGAAGAACATTGCAATATTGCTGACTATCAAGAACCTATATCTGCAGAAAAGTAACACTCATAGTCGGAACCTGCTTCCTATATATCTTCCCTAGCTTGTATATAAGTTTTATGAAAATTAGTTTACATTATCTATTGACTAACGTATATAATAACGCAGTGGGGAAAGGGTCGTACGTCTACATCTTATCTGACCCAATGTTGCTGCTACACGTGGTCTTGGTTTCTGTCATAGATCTCCACCTCCACGTAAATATAAATAATACTCGTAAAAAAACTATTTAAGAAAAAAACATTATGTGTGGTAGGTGTTGCATGTGGTTTCTTCATGTGTGTTGTGTGTCTCATCATTGAAGGTAGAAGTTTCAAGAAACACATAAATTTCAACACGCTGGTTAATTAACCAAGCTTTACACGTGAAAAATATTTTTTTTATATACATCACTCCCTTCGAATAACAGTCGGCTCATGTACAGTATAACAAATGTATACTAGTATTCAATTATAAACAAAGTTAATTTGTTACGTAAGAAAAGTTGCTGATTTAATGATAGCTATTGTTTCAGACCCCAGGCTTGATATCATGATTACTAGTGTTTGCAATATATAATAGAATCGGAGTATTGCCATATTCCCTGACATAACAGCAAATGTTGTTTATTTAATTTTTTGATTTCTATATCAAGGTGGCAAAAATTAAGTTTCCTCGTTGACAAGTGTCACATATATAGCCAATAGCTTTCCTCATTGTCTAAGCTTTACCCCCATTTTATAAATCTAAGGAAACAATTTGATCGGGAAAAATAAGGGAAAGTTTTGTTTATACATTTTTGGAGATATGATTCCACATTGGCCAAGGTTTTAAAAATGGAGGAAGTGTTATGTTTCTTTAGCTCAACTCCATTAATTAATCTAGAGTCTGTAAACTGATGCCAAGTGCCACAAAGAGATGTATCGATTGTTGTTTTAAAATCATGGCATTGTTAGACATAACATGTGACAAAGTCAAAGGTTTGATATTTTCCCCACCGATAATCAAGGTAATTGGTTTGTTCTTGTGATGACTTCGACGAAAAGGATTGAAAAATGGAAGTGTTTTAATTAAGGGCATGATTAGCTGGTACTGCCTCTTATCTCTAATATGAGAGCATTTGACTTAACACGATCGAGTTGGGTTTAGTGAATTATGATTTCAAATCAACATTTCTCATAATGTTGCCAGCTTTAATATTGAAATTGACATTTGAAGAATATTTAATCCAATTTAATGTTAACTGACCAAATATACATCATTCAAATGAAGAATTAAACCAAGATAAAAGCAAAATAAGAAAACTAAATCCAATGGTTAAAGATGGTAAATAATGATCAAATAAATACTCAAATTGGTCTTTCAATTTAGAAGGTACTGTATAATTAAAAGATCGGGGTACTTAATACCAATATACCATGAATTGGAGTGCAAGCGATGACAGAAAAATGAATGGTAAAAAGCTGAAGGTGGTGAAGAGTTAAACGGATCATTATGATGCTGACAAAGCCTATACCCCTAGCTATATAGTTCTAAAAATGACAACACGAATTAGAAATTGGAGTTGAAAAACTTGTCTTGCTGTAAAATTAAAAAGAAGGTCATGGACAATAATGATCGTACAACAATAACAATGACAACAGAAAAAGAAAAAGAAAAAGTCATGGATACAACAAAATAGGGACATATATACTTGCTTTAATGTCAAACAAGTTGTCCGAATGGTGCCACAACCTTTAAAGTACACTCTCTAACATCCTTTAATATATAACTAAGTTTCAATACTTAGAGCTTTATATCAATAACATCTACAAATTTGTACTAATATTAGGATCAGCGTCTAAGATTGTTTTTTTTATTTTTATGTTGAAGTATCCCAAGTGATTTTTTTTTGTCACTATTATACATTGTTAATCATAACAAGAGAAAGCTAGTGCTCATTAGAATCAAGAAAAAGTAAGTTAAAATTCTCCTTATAAGAATATTCGATGAAATTATTGATTTGTTATGAGGTCTTCTAAAGGTTTATTACAAAAGAGTTTAGCAAGGAACACGTCGATACTAAATAAAGTCGAGATCTGTTCATGATATTAGTAGATTTTGTAGAAACTATTAAATTAAATATTCAAAATGTTAAAATTTCTTTAACTATTGAAAAGTGTCGAACATGACTAATCGGCTTTGATGTTTAATTTGGGTTTGCGTCATAGATTTATTATTAGAGTAAGTAATGTGATTTCACTTCCACTTTCGTTTCTAATTTCTAACAATAGATCGAATGATAGATATTATGCAATGATACTGAAGTAAATGTGTAAATAAATAAAGTAGAATTTGGAGATTAAAAAAGGCTAAAATTAGATAATAAAAAAATAAAGATTAAAATTGGATTTTAATTATTTTGGACTAAAATTAAAACTTAAGAATTTTCTATAGACGAAAAAAAAATGTTTAAAATGTCACAAATAGTAGTTACCATGTAGCTATCATATACATGAGTCCACACATACACATGAGATACACATGTAGTTGCTTAATAGATCTAATTTAATGATAGAAACTAAAAATATTGACCGAAATTAACGAGATAAAAAAAACTGTGAAATTGTTTTGAAAGAATAAACGAGAAAAATGATGGTATTTGTAAAGACAAAGAGATATTTAATGAAGCCTAGCCTACAAAAATGCATTAAAATGGAAAATATCAGCATACTTTCTAAAAAGTTAAAAAAAAAAGTGAAATAAAAATTAAAACAAAAAACAAAACAGGGAGGGAGATCACAATGCAAAGTAGAATGAGACAGAGAAACAATAGATGCATTTGTCTATCATAATTATTGCCATCAAAGGGACCACGTCTCTGCCCTGTCCTATAAAACAGCATTCATTTAACGTATTAGGATTTAGCAGGACCATTCAATCACACACGAAAATAGGAAACAAGGTTGGGAATGAGGACAAATAGATAGCCTCATTTTTTATTTTTTATTTTTTATTTTTAAAAAAAATTTAAAATTTATTTATTTATAAAACTCGAATCGAGATTTTATTTAAAAAAATTAAATTCAATACTATTTGAAATAACGATATTTAGTAATAATTATTAATTAAACACTTTTCTTTCACACATTGTGGAAAAAAAAATTAACAAAAAAATTTATAATCAATTCTAATCATGTGTATATTTTTTAAAAATTAACGACGGCCACGAGCAACATTAATATAAGAAAATGAGAAAATTTGTAAGGAGGGAAAGTCTGCCCTTACTTCTTACTTTTTTGCTTTGAAAGGGAAAAGTGTCATTTACATTTTTCCTTAAAGACCAAAGCTTGTTAGTTTAATTAAGTGATGAGAAGTTTAATATGTTTGAATTCATCTATAAGGAACTTGAATCAACTGTTTGTGTTCCGTTATCTATATTTATATACAAAAGTCATTTTCGTTATATAATTTTTGAATTATTTTATTTTAAAATTTTTAAATAATAAAAAATTAACTATTCTTATAAATTCAAGAGTCAAATCTAAAATTTTAATATTTAAAAATTAGACACAAACATCAATTAATTCAATAAATATTAATAATTTTTAAATATTCTTAAATAAATATATAGAGACATAAAGTGTTTTATCCTATTACTTATATGTAAAAAAATATTTTTTTTAGTAATAATCTCGATATCCACATTTAATAAATCATTATACTATTTTATTATTAAAAAATTATAAAAAAAAATATTTTTTTTATCAAACTCAAAACTCTAAAATTTAAAAATAAATCATAGATTTAGTTGAATTAATATAATTTTATTATTTAATAAAGATACGAATTGCTTTGTCTCCATCAATTCCTAATAAAAGATATATAAGATACTTAGATTTTGGCTTTCCTAAGTCATGAAACAAACAATAAAAATGAGTGATGGTGTGAATGAAAAACGTTCTCCACGAACCCAAAAGCCAGTAACCAAACATGTTAGAATAGTGGATTAAGCCTAACTCAACCCTACAAAACCGGCTTGTAAGGTAAGGGTTGTTTTCCACTTATATATTATTCAATTGCCTAATCTCTAGTCGATGTGGGACTTGGGTTTTTCCCAATACACCCCCTCACGTCCAGCACTATTGGGCTTGGTACGTGGATAAATGGTGGGTGGCCCTTTTTAATGATCTAGGATTGGCGGGACTTGGGTTTTTCCCAATACACCCCCTCATGCCTATGAGGCATGCATCAATGGTGGGTGGCCCATTTTTAAAGTGGATCTAAATGGCTCTGATACCATGTTAGAATAGTGGATTAAGCCTAACTCAACCCTACAAAACCGGCTTGTAAGGTGAGGGTTGCTTTCCACTTATATACTATTCAATTGCCTAATCTCTAGTCGATGTGGGACTTGGGTTTTTCCCAATACACCCCCTCACGTCCAACACTATTGGGCTTGGTACGTGGATAAATGGTGGGTGGCCCTTTTTAATGATCTAGGATTGGCGGGACTTGGGTTTTTCCCAATACACCCCCTCATGCCTATGAGACATGCATCAATGGTGGGTGGCCCATTTTTAAAGTGGATCTAAATGGCTCTGATACCATGTTAGAATAGTGGATTAAGCCTAACTCAACCCTACAAAACCGGCTTGTAAGGTGAGGGTTGCTTTCCACTTATATACTATTCAATTGCCTAATCTCTAGTCGATGTGGGACTTGGGTTTTTCCCAATACACCCCCTCACGTCCAGCACTATTGGGCTTGGTACGTGGATAAATGGTAGGTGGCCCTTTTTAATGATCTAGGATTGGCGGGACTTGAATACACCCCCTCATGTCCATGGTGCATGTAGCAATGAATGGTAGGTGGCCCTTTTCTAATTGACGGGACTTGAAATACACCCCCTCATGCCCATGGTGCATGTATCAATGAATGGTGGGTGGCCCATTTTTAAAGTGGATCTAAATGGCTCTGATACCATGTTAGAATAGTGGATTAAGCCTAACTCAACCCTACAAAACCGGCTTGTAGGGTGAGGGTTGCTCTCCACTTATATACTATTTAATTGCCTAATCTCTAGTCGATGTGGGACTT